AAACCACGTCCCAACTTTCCTTTGTTGCCATCGGCAAGATTTCCCATTAAAAATTACTATGAGAGCCGACTGCTTGGATCGGCTGTTGGCATTCGTTGAAAACATTTACAGGACCTTCCTTCCACAGTTTTCCAGAGAAACAATCGACGCCTTCATATTCCCAGTAAGTAGATTCTGTGGCAGCAACACTTACCGAATCGTCAGCGTGTACAACTTCAACATCATCTCCAATCCATTGAATGAGAATTTGATGCATGGTCGAAGGAATGCAGCAATTAGCATGGATCCAATCTCTGCCCAAGAGTAGACTATATGCCCCCTTGCCATCAATGACAAAAAAGGTAGTAATCAGAGTTTTAGACCCAATAGTTAGCTCGACATGGATAGCACCTCGGGTATCAGAAGGATTGTCGGCAAAGTCCCTAAGCACCATGTCAGTTTTCACCAATTCTTCATTAGTCATCCCAAGCTTTCTGAAGGTAGTATAAGGCATGATATTGATAGCAGGCCCTCCATCAACAAACATCTTAGTTTCTCCCATAGCTTTATAGACCAGGGCTGCCATCTTCTGAGCATCCTCCTCTTCAGTGTAATCAGTTTGATGCGGAAGAAGAACACTTGGCATTGACTGCTTTTGAAACACTTTATTGCTCTTGTTTTTGGAAAAAGACATCAAACACTTCCGTTGGTATTGCTCACATGCTTGTAGCACTAAATCCCTGTAATTATCTGGCAATTCTGCCATGCTCACATCCAGAACATGATCATTGTTGATCTCAGACGCCATCTTAAACTAACAGATGGTCCCACCGAGCGTGCCAAAAAGTGTGTTGACACAAAATGTGACGACTGTGCCTCACACGACAAGCCGGAAAGCGTGGCTTTCAATCGGGTTCCGGGTGCTTCGTGACCCGAAGCGTACCGGTCGATTTGACCGAAAGAACTAACAAGGGATAAAAGCAGTTAAATGCGGACCGGAACATGTCGGGTGAGACCAGATAGTTCCATATATACGCCCTGAAGCCATTTACAACAACGACATACTGACTATAGGAAGTCGTCGCCAACAAGTTTATAAACCATTCGGCTAATCGTAAGATGAACACACGTAAAGATCCGATTACCGAATGCATGTGCATGGGAAGACATGTTTGAACAAGTGAAATTAATTATGAATTAATGCATAACCAAAGCTCAATCCAATCCAACCGAGTTGGGATCCATGAAGAAGGAACGTGCAAATAAATACGATTAAACTAATCTAAAACCTGCATCTGCCGCACGACACCTAGTTCCGTCAAAGCTTAAACGTAATTATCATGCATGAACCCACAACATGTAACAATCTAGATTAAAATAATTCAGCCATTATGAGCATGTTATCTATTTGCAGATGTAATATGACAGTAATGATCATTGAAGCACAAATAAAACCACAGGAGATGGCCGAATAATGTCAATCTAGATTGGGCAAAAAGTGTGTTACAAATATATGAAATATTTAAAACATGCAACACAGGATAACTTAATGAATCTATTTAGATTTTGCCGTATCTAATAGAGCCGATAACTCGCCTCTTGCTTTCACTAAGCATATTGAGCAAACGCTCACGCATGCGGTATCTACTCAATAACAAAGCATAAGCAAAGACTTCTTGATTGTCAAGCAAAGATCCGCCGCAGACGATCATTGAAATCAAACAAGACTACTTGCATCATGTCTAAATCCACCGCATGATACTAAACATGATAACAAGGTTGTCGGAACTTACGGAGGTCGACGGATCGATGACTCCTCTCGAAGAACTCGACGACACGACAAAAGGACTCGAAAGTTGGCACGGGGCCGGTTGTATTGATTTGGTTGTGAACAATCATTACAATGGTCGAGGGTCAATATTTATACCCTAGACAAAACACGAGTCCTAGAAGACTACGATTTACAAAGGAACTTCTAAACAAACTTGGAAACTTACGATTCCTTACCCTAAACTCTCGAGTCCTTTATTATTACAACTTTCATCTTTTCGATCGGCCTTGCTCGCCATCTTCGCTTTCCCGAATGGAGTCACGATATACGAGTAACCGATCAAGACAAGCATTTAGCCGACCGCTTGCCGAATACCCTTCTTTCCGCATGCGGGTCCACCTGTCATCCTCCAGAATCGACCAAAATCCAGTGTTAACAAATTTTTAAAAAAAAAACAAAGTCTACAGCATTCTAGGTGCTCCATCATGGAGCTCCAATAAATGAACAAGGCCTTATTGGCCAAACTAAGGAAACTAAGGTATCATACATGCATGGATACACACTACATGTACAATGTACTAGCACTGTTCTGTCAAGAGTTAGGCCGACACTCCATGACTCTAGGGCCACTCCAAATAATCTCCACACCCAGGATACGCTATACGATAGCCCAAAAATGATGGTTTTAATTCGTTAGGATCGATTTGTACGGGCGAGCCATCTCTAGAACCATTTCTAGCTAGAGGCAGTTTTTTTGATAGAGCCATCTCTGCCCCAAGAAGTAGAGCACCTCTAAAAATCGTTTCCGTCATAGTGATGGGACTTATTTTGTTGGCCAAAATGGTAAGGTAACATATAGAAGTAATCACATAACGAGAGATGGCAAGAAGGCATCAGAGACAAAGAATAGAAGATGAGAATTGGGAACTAGGTGTGAGGTATATCAACGCGCCACCTTCGTACATCGTTGATTATAGTTATGTCGAGGTAAGGGCAACATGCACGTATGACCGCTACAAAGTCTATAGATAGAATTCCACGTGCTCCATCAACCGAAGCCCCAATGAAGTCACAAGGCCATGGTCAAGCTGAGAAAACTAAAGTGTCATATGCATGGATATGCACTACATGTACAGTACGTGTGTACTAGCGCTATTCTGTCAACAGTTAGGCTGACGCTCCATGACTCTAGGGCCACTCCAAATCTCCACACCCAGGCCACGCTATATGACAGTCCAAAAACAATGGTTTTTGTTAGGATCAATAAAAGCCGCTTCAGCAACTTATCCACAAGTTAATATATAGATCGTTCCTATTGTATATTTTGTTCATTGTAAGTTGTAATTGTAAGTAATGTTGCTACATATACACCTTTTACTGACCAAACGGTTGGACGCTTAGAAATGCCTGCATGCGCGTATTGCACATGGACAATCTGGTAAAGTCCAATTTACACCCTCCAATTTTCACCAAAGTCCGGATTTCAACCTCGAACTTCAAAACCGGATAACTTTGGCCCTCCAACTCTGGAATTGTTCAACTTTCAACCTTCTGGCGGTTTGCGGGTGAACAGTAACTTTTGATATTTTCGGGAGGCGTCGAAATTTTATATTATTTTTTCGAGCATCTTAACGTCCTCAAATGAAAAAACTCAAAACTACAAAGTTGTAGATCTCTCGAGGTCTACAATTTACATGTAAAAATTATCTTCGTCCGACATCGTATTGAAGGGTTTTCTATTTTTTGAAATTTGAGTCTCATCACGCGACAAAATATGGTGCTGAAATTTTATATTATTTTTTCGAGCATTTTAACGTCCTCAAATGAAAAAACTCAAAACTACAAAGTTGTAAATCTCATCGAGGTCTACAATTTACATATAAAAATTATCTTCATCCGACATCGTATTGAAGGGTTTTCAATTTTTTGAAATTTGAGTCTCATCACGCGACAAGAAATTTTTTTTTGCTGATTGTCTGCTTAATTTGAGGATATAGATATCTTTAATGACTAACAATCCAATTTATTTAGACCTAGAAAACAACAAGTACTCTCATATTAGTCATATAACATCATTGTTTTTATATGACTTGACAGAAGCCTTCTGTCACTTTTCACTGGCATTGGAAGGCGATCGATCTGGCTGTAAGCGCGCAAGCTTGTACTTACTACGTGAAAAAATCAATAAGTGATGGGGGCATTGACTCATGACTCCACGTCGAATGACACTACATATAATTGACACGTCTAAAAATGAACCCACCCAGAGGGGCGGATTAGAGGTGTTTCTCAGAGTCTGTCAAGCCCTACAAATGTACCAATTCTACCTTCCACAGGCTATTCTCTAGCTCATCATCCGTATACAGATTTGATACGCAAACTCCGATCCTACAAGAGCATATCTGTTATAGACTCACTAGTTCGAGGCATGCATAGTGTATATATAGGTTTCTCTGTTCTACAGCTCACGCAACAACAGATGATTCCAAGTAAAATTTCTTCTGTCATCAAATACCAGTCAACTAGAAACATACGTACGTATGAGATCAAAAAAAAAAGGAAACATACATCCGTATATTCAAAGTGAAAGTTCTTACAGCTGGCTTATATTGTTTATGCTATCTACATCACCATGCATGTATCCATAGCGTATTTGATCTTCTTGTTCGTTGGTTCTAGGAACTTAGACCTGCGGTAGGTCTTAACGGTAATGCTACGTATAAGTATACAGGTATATATGCACTTGTGTATGCTAGCAATGCAAGCTAGTTATCATTATTGGGCGCTTTAGTCTTACGTACTTGTTGCAATTTGCAAGTCTCTAAGTCCACAACTAACGCTACTCCTGGGACAAGCCGTAGGTAGGAATGCATGCATGTAATACTTGTGCATCGTATAGTATCTCCTTTTCTTTTTGTGAAGCCCTAGATTAATTGGAAGTATGGGAAGGAGCCAGGATGGGACGACCTCGAATGTCCAGGAGGGGAGGGTACGCACGTTTCCATCGTTAGAAACTTGTGTGTGCCAGCCGCCGCCCAGCCGGACAAGCACTGACACTCGCAACCTGACTCTGATGACCTGCATGCGCTAGGGCTACGTACGTACGCCAAGGCAAAACTTGTGCCAAGAGCAGATCCGCCTGCCGCGCTGGCCTATAAATATATAGGTATGGCCGCGATACGCCTTCAAGCACAGACACACGGTTCAGAACACAATACACAGCATATATCCATCCGCAGCCAGTAGCGCGATGGCAACATCCAACAAGTCCACTGCTTCCCCTGCGCTCCTGTTCCTAGCTGTGGCACTCGCGTTAACGGCTTCGGTGCGCGCCAAGTCACCACCAGCTCCGACCCCTCCTCCTACTCCTCCCTCAAAACCTGCACCGACGCCTACGCCGAAACCTTCACCGAATCCTGCCCCGACACCTGTGCAGCGGACGCTCAGACCAAACGTTCACCGACTCCTGCCCCAACACCTGCGCCGAAACGTTCACCGACTCCTGCCCCGACCCCTACTCCTACTCTTGCCCCAACACCTGCACCAACACCTGCGCCGAAACGTTCACCAACTCCTGCCCCGATTCCTACGCCGACACCTACTCCAACGCCTGTGCCCACACCCGCACCGACCCCTGTGCCAACTCCCGCCCCAACCCCCACATCGACCCCTGCTCCAACTCCAGCGCCGACACCCGCACCGACCCCTACACTGACTCCTGCTCCGACGCCTCCAGAGCCGACACCCGCACCGACCCCTACACCGACTCTTGCTCCGACGCCCACGCCGACCCCTGCACCGACGCCCACACCGACCCCTGCACCGACCCCTGCACCGACGCCCACACCGACCCCTACACCGACTCCTGCTCCGACGCCCGCGCCGACCCCTGCACCGACTCTTGCTCCGACGCCCACACCTACCCCTGCCCCGGCACCATCCCAAAACCCGTGCCCTTCCGGCTTCAATAACACAGTCACGTTCTCTCAAGGCGTGACAGCCTATGGTCTCCACGGCATCTCTCTCACCTTCTCCCCTGTCAAGGTCACCCCAGGCACCAGCAGCACAAGATGCTTTTGCTATTACTCTACCAACATCACCATCCCCGTTCCCTTCTTCCCACCCATTGTGGTGCCCAACCCCAATGGCCCCCTCGCATGCGTGCCAGGCCCCCAAATATGATGAGCACGCCTGAGATTCAGCATGCTGGCACGCACTCCTACTATATACGTATATATACTACATATACATATATATATATACATATGAATAAGCTCCATCTGTCTGCGTGTGCATGCATGTTTGTCTGCATGCGGAGACTAATTCAAATGTTACGCTATACAGTGGCATGTAAGAGGAGTTACAAAGTAAAGACAGATGATGTAACACTGTGTGACATCATGTTCATGTTATTGTACGTGTTCTCAAAATATCAAATATATATAATGGAACTATATTAATTAAATATAAAGGTATATATTTCTCCAAAATAAAATATATATAAGAAAACATTTCGGCTACATGTAGGCCGATCCATGATTGTATCTTCTTATGGAAAAAAAATATAACATCATGTAGCTGGTCCCGGACTCCATACTCAAACACAGTTTCCAATTAGTGTTCAGTCAAAAAGCAAGAAAAACAAATCGAGGAAAGCCACAGAAATCAGCACTGCTTTAGAACCAGCAATCACTGCCGGTTCGAAACCGGATAACTGTCGGATTTCAATCCGGAAGTGGGTATAATCAGTAGTGTTGACCTTGACGTTTCACTATCAGTTTTTTTCACTCGGCAGTGATGCCCGTTTTCACAAAACAAAAAGAAGAAACAAAAACATTGTCTGGCTCCCAAGCTAGCCCCGCACGCATGCATCGGGGATGCCCCCGGCTGCCCTCGTGCCCATTGTGGTCGTGCCTCGCGCCAAGATCTTGATGCTTGAAGCCTGATATCAAGAGGAGAAAGAGCGGAGTGGAGGCTTGCAGGGAGGTATGCTTGAAATGGGATCTAGAGGGGGGAGAGAGACAAAGGAGACACTGGGAGAGAGAGAGAGAGAGAGAGAGAGAGTGAGAGAGCCAGGATAGGAGGACAAGGCTGTGGGCATGACTCACGAGCGAGTTAACGATGTTTGTTGGGGAGGGTACCTTCTGGGTGTCACCACCTCACCCGAAAGGATGCACGTGTTACAATAGATATTTTTTTCTAGGATGTAGCCTGGGCAGATAGTGAGGGCGCCACGCGGCGGTGGGAAACGCGAGGGATCCTCTCCCTCCAGCGCTCTAGGGAGGATCACCCGTTCAAGCCACCGGGAATGCCACAAAGCCTTTGCCCATTCAGGGAGTGCTTGAATTCAGGAGGGCAAAAGGACCCGAAACTCCCTGTACATGCCTGGAATATGCTTAGTTCACCGTAGGAATCATGTAATCTACTCCAACATAGTATCCCCTACAAATATAGGCGCCCATGTAACACTAAATATGAGGGGGACACACAAATTCGTCTCAGTTTGTTTTTATTGTTATTTCTTTGTTCGGAACCATTGCGGGAAGACCCTTGCTCTGGTGTCGAGGTTTCTGAACAAGGACGTTAACCCGATAGCGTTCAATAAAAACTTTGGGTCCAGGGGCTACGGATCACTGCCGGTTAGTAATATAACCCGACAGTGATAGGTATCACTACCAATTTTAAATTGTCTGGCAGGCATAGCCCAACATGGATTGTGTATTATGTAGTAGTGCAGGATCTGATAAAATATGAGTGAATTCATCCCATATCGAGTACAGCATAGCTAGTAGATGCCTATATGTTGTCTCCTTGTTCCACCAACAATAGCATGATCGAGTTATGAAACCTAGATGTCATCTCCTTGTTCCACCGTCAATACCATGTTTTAGTTATACAGGAAATATATATGCTACAACTTCACTACTCTATATAAATGAGTTTTATATGCATCTCTTTTTATTCCAAGAGGCTGATGGACTAAGGGCCTGTTTGGTTCACCTAGTAGCTCCTAAATTTAGTAGTTTTTAGTTCCTTTAGTAATTTTTTTGTCGAACACTATGACTAAATGTGACTAAAAGGGCTTTAGTCCTCTCTAGTAACTCGGGAGTGACTAAAAGTGACTAAACCATTAAGTAGCTCCTAAAGTTTAGTAGCCCAAACCAAAAAGGCCCTAAGAATCATCTCTAAATAGGTGTCTAGGGGGGGGGTCTAGCTAACGGATCATCCCTGGAAATTGATTTTTAGATACGGATGGCCTTACCAATTGCCTCTGAAAATGGCCCCCATTTCCATAGGTGGTTCGTAAGATCAACTAAATCGTATTTGTAGAAGTAGATGGAAACAACCACTGCAAGAAATCTTCCATTGTTTTGACGTTTTACTTATGTCATAATATAGGCAATTTATGTCGTAGGTTGCATTTTATGACATTAGGTTGACAAAAATGCAAACGTTGAAAAATGTGTCGTAAAATACATTTTTTGACGTTTGCATTTTTAAAGTCATTAACCCTATGACGTTGTTTTTTTCATCATATAGATTTATGACGTTAGATTTACATCACAACCACACATAGACCCTGCCACATGTGCAATTGCCACATGGGATGCCATGTTGACATGGCGCTGACTTGGCAAATCTAGAAAACGTCATAAAACTAAAATTTGGCCTGTTAAGACCCATATGAGAGGCAGGCCTCTAATGGGCCACAAATATTATTTGCGCTAATTTTTTTCAACGTGGCCTATTTTTTAGTTTATATTTCAGCCCATATTTTTTGTCCTAAATCAACCCATTTTTCTGAAATCAATCTAGCCCACTCAACAATTAGCCTACAACACAATCAGCCCACACATTTTTTTTCTACCATTAGCAATATAGGCTTTATCAGATTGCACTTAAGTAGCCCAAACAATTGTATTACGAAATAGAAATCAGATTTTAGTCACCCAACAACAAATAGATAGACATTGCAATATCATTCTTGCGGATTCGGAACCACGGCAAGCATCGAGTTTCTTCGTCGGAGGACTATATGCAGGTCTTTGGGCCCGGACACTCAAAACACGCAAGGTACACGGTCGGTTTATCTTGGTTCAGACCTCTGAGCCTTTGTCCAGCAGTATGGTGTTATTCGTGTTAGGAATGTCCAATCAGGGGTTCCTACAACAAAGGAATTGAAAGAGACTTTGGATGGGGATTGCGTTGCTATCCTAGTAATTTAATATTATTAATATTCTTTTCAATAGCTTTAACAGAAGCACCCAAAGAGATACCTACTCTATTAACAGGACTAGCAATAACATTATCTGGAAGAGATAAAAACGAAAGGTCTGGAATCATACCTTTTTCCTTAATTAGAATGATCCGGGTTTTTGCGAGCTTTGAGTTTTGTTGCCTTCTCCAATGAATTACTAGCAGCAGTTGCAGTATTATGTTTGCTCTTCCGTGTTGGAGTGATATTCATAGCAGCAGGATAGATGTCTTTCTGGGCTTTTTTTTTTTTTGAGTTGTATAGGTGGACCATAAAATCTTTCTGCTACCCATATTGTTTTGTGGGCTGCGTGTCGCCGGTCTGCTTGAGCATCACCGCTGGCCTGCCCACCAAACGCCTGCCTTGAGCAGATTGGCCTGCTGCACCTGTGCTGCACCCAGCTAGGCTGGAACTGAACTGTGGCCCAACCGTGGGGAGGAAGGAGCCTTCCGCTGCAAAGCAGAACTCCCAAGCGCCTGAGTAGCTGGCGGTAATGGAGTTTGACCAAAGTTTGCCACATCCTTTGATTTTCCACCACTTTTATTCTCAGAATCCTTATTTTTCCTGCTCTTTGCTGCCTCCATCCTTAGGCTGTTCATCCACATTAATGGGACTAGGATTTTTTTTATTCCTGCTCAGTCTCCACCAATAATTGAAGCTCGAAAACATATAATCTCCGATCACCGTATCAACAAGCTCAGGGATGCGCTCAGGCATAAGTGCAGCCACCTTCAGCCTTGCTCTACCAAATGTTTTGGTAAATTTCATGTCAACTTCTCATGTAGCCCCAATGATAGTACCAACTGCCCATATGATTGGGAATTGGCGTATTCCTTTAGGGAGACCACGGCACTGGACCCAACATTTGGGAACTTCATATTTGTACATTTCAACATCTTTTTTCTCAGAAATTTCTAGCACTCCATTTGCAAACTTGGCCTGAACCGCCCCGATTCCACCATGCGTAGTAACGCGTAACATATAGAAGTAATCACATAGCAAGTGATTGCAAGAAGGCATTAGAGACAAAGGAGAGAAGATAGGAATTGGAAACTAGGTGTGTGCATGACCTCACGCCACCGACCGGTGTACATCGTTGATTAGTTATGTCGAGGTAAGGGAAACATACAAAGTCTACACATATAACTTCTACAAAGAAGGTTAATTATAAGAAGTCTTGTTTGGTCCCTCTAAATCTCTCCTTTGAGAGAGCCCAACAACTGGCTGGAGTTTTTGGTTGCAAACTTGAGTCTCTCCCTTTCAGCTACCTAGGACTGCATGGGTACTACCAAATCCAGGGTTGATCATTTTGGCTTCATCATAAACAAAACTGAAAGAAGGCTAACAGCTACATCAAATCTTCTAACACATGCAGGAAGGTTGGAATTGGTTAACTCAGTGCTCTCCTGTCTGCCAACATATGCAATGTGCACTGCAGGTGCCAATAACAGTTCTTGAGTACATTGATAGAGCTAGAAGGCACTGTTTATGGAGAGGATCAGACAACAATGCTAAGATGAAGCCTATGGTTGCCTGAAAAAAATGTTGTAAACCCAAAAGGAAAGGAGGCCTTGGCATCATTAATCAAGTCAAAACACAACACTTCTGCTTAAGCATTTGAATAAATTCTATAACAAGAAGAAGATCCCTTGGATGAGACTTGTCTGGCACGCACATTATTCCAATGGTGAAATCCCACATGCAACAAGTGACAAA